CCGGCCGAGGCCGGCACCTGCCTGCTCTCCGCGCGGCCCGGCTGTCCCGGCGCTTGAGGAGAACCGCGGTGTGCCGCGCGCGCCCTGTCGCCCGCCCCGTCTAACACGTGGTCTGTCCAGTAGCGGCCACAGCATTGATCTGTTGAACGAACGAGCCAGTGTTTTCTCGTCCTTTCCGAGCCTCCCTCCGGCACCCTTTCGAGAGCTGGCCAGCGAGCGTCCTTGCCTGGACACTTCCAGTGTCCGCTGTTTTCTCCGCTGTTGTGGTTACTTAGAACGCACCTGGAACATAATAGGCTCTTGGTGCCTTTTTAGTCAGCAGATGAAAGAATACGAATTCATTTGCTTCTTGAAGGAGCAAGTTGGCTAAATATAGGTGATAGTGGAGCCAGTTCCTCGAGGGTGAGAGGAAAGCACATTGCTAAAGCCAGCAAGAGATACAAATGGAGAAAAATAACAATAAAAATGATTGTGCAAATGTTTGACATTCAAAAAACCATCCTACCATGGATAAGAAGGTCAAAAGATGGGAGCACAGTTCTACTTCAGAATTAGAGCACGGAATGATTATCAGTGTTACTCCATCACGCAGATACAAGCGTCTTGAATGTGGAGTCCTTCCCCTGTCGCGCTTTTTTCTTTTGGCATGTGCCCATCACTGTTGGGCACTAAGGACACAGCAGAAGGCAGATCGCTTTCTCACACGTGTACTGTCTAGCGAGAGGATGGGCAGCAAACGAGCACATCATTTCAAAAGATGATTAATACAGTGACGCAGAATTAAAGAGTGCCGCAGGCCTCCCCATGGGGGGGGGGGGTTGGCATTTGAACTGAGCTGCGATCAGTAAATAACCATGAAGGAAACGGGAAAGGCATTCCAGCCAGCAGACAGCACGTGTGAAGGCGCTGAGCGGAAAGAAATTTGATGTGTTGAATTGAAATAAGGCCAGTTGGGCCTGGAGGGATGTGATCTGATTTATATTTTAAGTCTGTCTTTCAGGTCCCTAGAGCTCAGACTTTGGGGGCTCAGTGACCACTTAAACATTGCTTGTTCGACTAGGTTTTTTCGCTTGTGTCCCTTGGCAGTGTTCAGTCTTTTTTTAAAGATTGATTTATTTATGCATATAGAACTGGGGCACAGGCCAGAGGTGCAGGAGGGGTGAGTGGACTCACCAAAGACAGAGCAGGAAGCAGAACAGGCAGATGGACGAAGTCCACTGCTGAGGGGAGGAGCGGGCGGGTCAGGAGAGGTCTGCCGCGCCATGTGGATTAGCTCGGGGGCCAGGTATTGAACTTGCACTGAAGCAACTGCAGCAAGCTTGCAGTGTTGCTTCCTAACCTGTTGCAATACGAGGGAGGGCCAGTGTTAAATATTTTTACAATCAGATGGACATCAGCATACAATAGGTAACGAGGGCCAACAAAAATGAATGATGATGGCAGCTTGACTTAGCTATGACAGTGCTTGCCTGTGATGAAAAACTGGCCAGCAGGGATTATTTTAATTAGGGAAAAAAAAGTTTGAGGGCAAGGAGAAGGGCTTAGTACAGCTTTGGTATTCTAGGCAGTGTTATTGACTGTAGGTAGATGGGTAAAATCAGTGCATTGGGAGAAACCAACCCTAAGAAAGCCCTTACGATTCGTCAGTAAATTAAACACAGAAGTGCCAGGTGACTCTGACCTTCTACTTTGGGTATTTACCCAAAAGAAATGAATGCAAGTGTTCAAACAAAAACTTGTGTACCACGATTCACAGCAGCACTACTCAACAAAAATCCAAAAGGTGGTAACACCCTAAGTGTCCACCACCTGATGAACAGATAAGCAAAATGTCTTATGGCCATACAATGGAATGTTTACTTAGCTGTGGAAAAGAATGAAATACTGACTTGCTGCAACATGGGTGAGCCTTGCAAACACGTGCAGACGCAGACGCAGACTCAGGGTTGCCGGCAGCGGGGCCCCGGCTGCTCAAACGGTGTGGGGCTCCTTTCTGAGTCGCGAAAACTAGCCGATAGTGATGGCTGCAGTCACGTGACTACTAAATCCCACCAAAGTGTACATTTTTAAATGGTGAATTTGATGCACTGTAACATTTTATCACAATTAAGTTTTAGCCCTGGCAGTTTAGTGCCCAGGGAGCCAGCCAACGGGAGCCGTGCCCTCCGGCAGAAGGCCCTCCCAGCCTAGCCTTGCAGCAACTGAGCCCTGAAGTGGCAGACTTCGAACTCTGGGTTCTTTAGCTGAAGTATCCTCTGTGGTGCCAGCGCCTTCATAGGCAGTTGGATACTTGGCAGTTGCCACATTTCCGGTTAATTATTCACCGAGAAAGGCCCCCTGGGGGGATGGCATGATGGGGCCAACCTGTATGTGCTGAGGGGTCTCCTTAGACTATCTAAAGGGCCACTGGAGAAGGTCTTAGTACAGCTTTGGTATTCTAGACAGGGTTGTCTTTGGTGAGTGCGAACAATGACTTCATGAGGTAGCCAGCACAAAACAGGCACCGTTAAATCAGTGAATCAGTCGGGTGAATGAATGAAGAAATATTAGTGAGAGCTTGTTTCCTTTGTGGGCTTGGTTTCCACTGTTTCTTAAACAGGGGTGCCTTGGGGAAAGGGATTAGAGCTCCAAAGGTCCCTGGAACCCCCACTTGCTCAGCTCTATACGCCCTCAGGTCATTCCCAAAAGCAAGTTCGTCTTGGTGAAGTTCGACACACAGTATCCCTACGGTGAGAAGCAGGATGAGTTCAAGCGTCTGGCTGAAAACTCGGCCTCCAGCGATGATCTCTTGGTGGCAGAGGTGGGGATCTCAGGTATGAAGGAGCTCAGATGCCTGGGGAGGGCAGAGAGGGAGGAAGTCCAGTCAGTGCCTTTCCAACTGAGCCTCACACAAGAAGTGTCCGTGGGGCACTGGCATCTCAGAGAATCTGGTGCCACTGGCCAGCTTCCCGTGAGGAGATCGTGTGACCTCACCACCTCAGCTCAGCCTGAGGTACCTGATGGGTGGGAATCCACTGGCCCCACCCTCCACCCCACGCTAAATTAAGTGTACTCTGATTGTTCAGAAAGGGTATCTGCCTCCTAGGGGACATGGTGTTACTCCATCTTCATTTCAACTCTTGTACCAAAACGATTAGATTCAGCCCAAATCCACCAGAGCTGCCATTAAACCGAAAAGCAGCTTTCAACCATAGCTACCGCTTTAGGTGATAATAGTTGCCAGCGCTGAATGGCTTATTATCCATAGAGGTAATTCATTTTTATCTTCACTTGAAACCCTGCCTGAGAAGTGAGACACATTATCCTAGTTTTACGCTTAAAGAAACTGAGGCTGAAGGGGCTTGATGGCCTCTCGGGCCATGGAGCGGGAACTAGTATCTGCCGAGCCCCGCCAGCACAGCCTTGGCCCAGCTCCCTCCCACTGGGGTGCTCTGGTTTCCTGGTGAATTCCAGAGTGGGACCCTGGGGGAGACGGCTGGCCCAGTTCTCCAGAGTACTCAGTCATTTCTTTCTCAACCGTGAGTCAGCTCCGGTGGGCTATAGTAGCGATAGTAATAGCTGACATTTACCAAATGTTTACTGTGCGCCAGGCCACTGTGCTAAGTCTTTACATGTATTTCATACTTGTGACAACTGTGAAGTACCCTGACCCCCATTTTCCAGAGGAAGTGGATGCTTAGAACATAAATCTGCTCAACAATACAGAATGGCAGAGCCAATACCCAGTGGTAGGTGGTCTTGGCCATTCCCCTTGGCCAGACGTAGGAAAGCCGTAGGAAAGCAGTGTCACAGCATCGGTCCTTCGACCTGCTACTGACAGTTAGAAAGGGCGCTGCAAATGCTTAAAGCAACCAGCTACTGCTCCTGGTTAACTACAGGTTATGTGCACATCCCCCTCAGGGCACTCCCAACAGCCCGCTTATGGTAGGAATGGTGTCCAGTGTCTACCACGAAGCCCCGTCTCCCTACGCTCCGGTTGTGTTGGCCTTTATAACGCCTACATATGCCTGGTCATTCACGCCTCCAAGCTTTTGCACTTGCAGTACTTTCTTCCTGAGAGATACTCTCCTCATCTTGTGTCAGTCTTTATGATGTTCGGGCCCCTCAGCTTATGCCATCACCACAGAAGCCTTCTGTGGCCATCTTGAGTTGAGTCGCCTATCCAGTCCCTGTCACATCACACTTTTTTTTTTTTCATCATGGCACTGGTCATTTGCGCACATTGGCTTATTATCTCCCTTTACCGTTGAGGTCAGAGACCTTGATACTTTTAATCAAAACTAGATGCCCAATACTTAGAGCAGTACCTGGCAGAGTGGGCATATAATATTCAGGATTCCCAGTTTTCAAATGAGGAAATGAAGGTCAGAGAGGTTAAATGAATAATGCCACATGGGTAGGGATTAACACAGGAGGAGTTGAAGCACAGGCAACATTTCTTCCCCTCAGCTTAGATAGCCCAGCAATCTCCTGGCCTGTGTTTCTTACATCTTCTCATCTCTGGTTTCTTCATAGATTATGGTGACAAGCTAAATATGGAGCTGAGTGAGAAATACAAGCTGGACAGTGAGAAGTACCCAGTCTTCTACCTCTTCCAGGATGGAGACTTTGAGCACCCAACTCTTTACAGTGGGGCAGTTAAGGCTGAGGCCATCCAGCGCTGGCTAAAAGAGCATGGGGTCTACCTAGGTATGCCCGGTTGCCTGCCTGCATATGATGCTCTTGCTGGGGAGTTCATCAGGGCCTCTACTGTGGAGGCCCGCCAGGCCCTCTTGAAGCGAGGGCAGGACAACCTGGCAGATGTGAAAGAGACTGAGAAGAAGTGGGCCAAACAGTACCTGAAGATCATGGGCAAAATCGTAGACCAAGGTGAAGACTTCCCAGCATCAGAGATGACCCGGATTGCCAAGCTGATTGAGAAAAACAAGATGAGCGACAGTAAGAAGGAAGAACTCCAAAAGAGCTTGAACATCCTGACTGCCTTCCAGAAGAAGGGGGCTGAGAAGGAGGAGCTCTAAAAAGGCACTCCGGTGTTCAGTGGGGGTAGGGAGGGGAAGAGTTACCTATTAGCTGTGAGGCCCTCCTGAGATTTGATGGTGTTGAGGAAAAAGTGGCAGTATAGCAGAATCTGAGTATGCCCGGAACATGCTTGGGACATCTCTAGAGCCAGTCAGGGCACAGCCGGAACACTTACTCAGAGGGCTTGTGAAATACCCCCACAGAAGGAATTGGTGCTATAAAGAATGTACTGCCCAGGTCCTCGACAGATGTAATTCTGATCCAATTAAAGTTTGTGTTTTGTTAAGCAGCTCTGAAGTCATCTGGTTTTCTTTTACAAATTATACTTTGCCCTGATGACCTGCTTTCCCCTTCAGAATTTTTTATCCCAAGGTGGTAGAAGCTCTCCCATAACATTATAAACTGGTGCCAGCTGAATGGCTGTTACTTTCTACTGGACCGCTGGTTAGTAAAAAGCATGATCCTTAAAACCGAATATTAATGAACTTTGCTGTAGTTATTTTCTGTACTCCATGACATCTATAGTAAAGTCCTAGCTTTACTGATACAATATTTCAGTGGAATTTTGAAGAGTTTAGATTTAGGCAACCAAGTAACAATCCAGTTTGACTGTCATCTAAGTTAGTCACTCCATTCAGTACTAGCTTTAGCAGAGTGGAAGAACACTGCACTGCCAAATCTGCTTTCAGGAGCAGTGAATATTGTAATGGTGAATACTTAATTGTAAGGTAAGCTCCATGACACCAGCATTTTCATTTTTGGCTACTTTACCATATCGTAGCTCTCTGAAATGTCTGACTATTCTCACACAGATTTTAAGTTGAATGGAGTAGGCGGTCTTAAATTGTTGGTGTTCCTTCACTTCAGCCTGATTGGTATTTAAAGCCACTGAAATGAAAAATGCAGGAAAATCCATGTACTGAATTGGATGGAACAAAAGCTGGGCAGCTTTTGCTGCTTGCCAACACTGGCACTCTCTACACTTGAGTAAGAATATAACTGTTTAGTCAAATGCCAGTGGTCACCTCACTCATTTAAATTAAAAAATTTGGAAGATTGTTTTGGGTATTTCTCACTGGTAATCTTCACTTTGTTACAGTTTTTTTCACATCTCTACAAAAACAAGGTCACTTCCAAAGACAGTCTTCTCTTTTAGAAAGTAGAGTAAGACAAATGGCAAGCAGGAAAATTAAAGGCACCCAGTCCCTGAAGGTCTCATCTTCAACATACCAGGGATACTTCGTTGGATCAGTCCAGATCAGAAATCACTTACAAATCTAAGTTCTTGAAAAGGCTATTAGTGTAAGAATAAATTATACAGCAGAAACCTGTCAAGTATTTTTCATTAAAGAGGGCCTGCTTAACCAAAAAAAATAAACACATGCCTTTTGCAGCAACATGGATAGACCTAGGAAAGACCATGCTTAGTGAAATAAGCCCAAAAGAAAAGGAAAAATACCGGATGGGTTTCACTCATAGCAGGAGTATAACAGACCAGGCGAGGAAATGATGATAATGAACAGCTATATACTAGAGACATTTTATGGGGGTGAAGTGGGAAGTGGGATCAAAAACAATGGGGGGAGGGAAATGCACTGGACTGTGGTGATGGCACACGGGTGATTTGGTGATGGGAAGCCCATGGGGATTGCAACTGAGATAGAAAAATGCACAAAATGATGTAAAAATACACTTTTTGAAAAGAACAAAGGAAAAAAATAGTAATAAATTCTCAATGGATTAAAAAAAAAAGAGGCCCTGTTTATAGCTTAGATAACCTGAAGCACACAGACCCTGGATCAAAGTCCTGTTCTTAGAAAACTTACAGGTTACCTCAGAGCCAAGAGCCAACAAGTTGGTTGGTATTTATCCACACACACACACACACACACACACACACACACACACACAAAAGATTTGCATCAGTAGAGATTAACAGGATCAAACAAGTCTTTAAAACAAAATAAGGTAGTGTGGAGTGTTCTGGATTTCAGCTCATTTCACCAGTGCCTCAGAGTGGGATTCATACACAACCTTGACCTGCTAGGTGTTTTAGATGGTAGCCTTATCTGCAGTAACTACTTTTCTCACGTCAAGTGGCCCAGTGACTAGGATGTATGGAAGCAGGACATCGCAGAAAAACTGCTCTTAAGTATAAAATGCTGCAGGTGCCCACTAAGTCATTTTTATAAGCACCTGGTTGCTTCCCCTCCATTTGTCATGTGAAATACAGGTCTGCATTGAGGGAGGAACATGAAAAAGTGTAAACCTTGGTAAAGTTTTTTTAAAACAAGGTAACCACTGGGATGGAACGCATAACTGAAGCAGCACAAACTGCCTTTTCCGGGTTCAAAATGGGTCATTTGCTATCATGAGACAGGCCACTTAGGAGGGGAAGACTAGTTCCTGCACCATATTCGCATGTTGGACTAAATGATCTCAGCCTATGGGTTCATGTATTCCTGGATAAACCGTATCAGCCCTTCTGGAATCCTCCAACTTCTCATTGAACACAGAAATGTCATTCCCTCAGCTACAAAGCCCTGAATGTTCTGACGCCTGCTCTCTCCTATTGCATCCCTATTCCTTTCATTAAATTCTTGCTACTTGAGCCTTTTCTTCAGTCCCTGGAACATGCGGAGCTGTTTCCTATTTGGGGGCCTTGGCACCTGCATCCCCTTTTCCACGCTGACTCATCATTTAGTTCAGATGGCACCACCTGAGATAGATCATCCTGACAGTCATTTTCTAACTTCTTTATGAAACAGAACTTAATAATAAACCAATACCTGTCTCTTCCCCCACCTTGACCACTAACTAGGATGTGGGGTCTCATTTACCAACACCTCAGCAGCTAATATAGAATCTGGCACACAGTAAATAAGTATCTGATGCCTGTATGCTGAATAAATACTAGCATGCAAGGTTCCACTTTGAACAAAAAGTCTAGTGACCTTTGAGTAAATATCTTGAATTCAGAAATATAATTTTGATGTGAAATAATAGTACAAAATTGAGATTAACTGTGTCATTCAAAAAGTCTAGGAAGCCAAACAAATTTCACCCGGGCAGGAATGCCAACTTAAGATCAAAGTTTTATAAATTAACCTAGTTAAGTTTGTTATGCTTCAGTTAATTCTGATGAAGGAAAAAATACTTTCTATATTAATATATAGAGTTTCAATAACAAGACCGTAAGTAACATTGAAACCCCCTTTTATAAAAGTTAAAATGAAAGACAATCCAGATCCAACAGTGATTGCAAAATATAATGCAATTTTGAACAATTAAAATTATGAAAATATACAAAATAGATGGGTGAAACAGCTATGCATTTGTACATTTTCCATTATGTGGAGAACACTAAAAATTTATCTACCTTTATCCACATCAGATAAACCACCAAATGTTTGCTTTGGAGTATCTTAACTTAGGATCTCAGTAGTATAAAAAGCAGTTAATTTTTCAGTCTGTAAACAGTAGTCAGTCGTGGTTTTTTTTCCTCATTTCTGTTTTTTAAATATCAATCACACAAAAACAAACAAACAAAAAACCCACAAAAACTGAAACAGCAGCAGCAGCAATGGGTTATTTGGGAATTCTCTTCAAATACCAATGATATACAACTGCTAGAGAGGGTGATTTTTCTCTTAAGAGTGTATATATATATATACACACACACATATATATATATACCTCTATATATATATATAACTATGTATATATATATAAATATATATATATATATTTAACTGTACACACAATTTATAGTGCCTAACAATGTCCAAAAGAACAGATCAGTAAAAGAGATTGGCCATTTCTGCATAATTTTTTTTAACAATTACCTCAAAATGTCAAGAGGTTGGATCTAACTGAAATGCTACATTTAGTAGGAAAGTCAGCAAGTACCAGAGGAAACATTATTTGTCACTAAAACCAGTGGAGGTCCAAGAAGCCCCTATACAAGACTATCCAGGAGAGCACTGGAGTCTTGTGTTGTCCCTGAGGGCAAGGCTAACCCGCGGAATACAGGTGCTGAATTACCAAGGTCAGTTGATAAGACTTGTTTCAAAGAGCATGTCTAATTCTATATACAGTATTTTTGGACATTCAAAGAAACGTCATTTTAAGAACACATGCCACAAACACACAAAGCTCCATCAAAATGGACCATAGTTTTATGAAATGATAGGTTGTCATTAAATTATGTTCAGAATCAGAATTTTCAATTCATCTTGTCAAGGCAGTTTTTCCTTTTGGGACGGGTTTTAACCGCTGTGGCTACTAATTTACATAAAAAATGACTTTTTAATTACTTGAACTGGGATTTCCAACAAATCTTATTTTGAACAGGTAACGTAGTATTTTTCTTAAAAATTTCTTTCAAGTTTGAACAGTTATTCATCACCCTATGAAACTGTGAGTCTAAGAATGTCAAGATGAGAGGACACAATGCAGCTGTTTTGTATACAGAGATTTTCCAAGCTCTCATTTTTAAAAGAAAAAAGTATCACATTTCACTGTAAAGGTTAGTTGGAAAGAACTTTAAAGTCAAAACCAATCCCACAGCAGGTGCTTGAGATGCCTCATCAAAATTCATGTCTTTGCTCTTACAGAATTACCAACTTTAACAGTATTTGGGTAACAAAAGACCAAAAACAGATGAACAGATTTAAACACAAAAAGTTATCAAAGCCATTGTATAAACCGTAGTAACATTTTCAAGAGCAATGTTTAACTTTCGTCAGACCAACCTCTGAAGCTGTAGTTTTGGGGAGCTCCAGATGAACAATATAAACGCCATCTTGATGTCATTCTCAAGCTCAAAGAAAGTAAACAGTCTCAACAGATAATATTTTTGCCAGCCTCAAAACTTAAGACAAGTTAAGTCCATAATATACATTCCTTCCTTCCCAAGACCCCTTAAGAAAACACTAAAGTACTTATTTTTGAGTGTGTGTGTGTGTGCGTGACACACACACACACACGTCAAAGCATATACATATATAATATATATATAGCTCACAAAACCAATGACATTAGTATTAGACTTGCCTGCATAAAATATGTACACCTCTCTTTAAAACAGTGATTCCCATCTTTTGCACACGGATGAAAGACAGCAAGCTAGCCCCGGCAGGCTGTAAGTGACCCGCACTGCTCTCCCCTCCGACACGCTGTTCAGTTAGCAGCCGTCTGTGATGGGACGCACACAGGAGCTGGGGTGAGATGTGCTGGCCATCAGGACTAAGGGCCAAATAAAGAGCGCCTGTCATCACTTGTGTGACACCCTTCACGGGCAGGAGCTTGTGCCAAACTGCATCTGAGACCCTGTGGATACTTGGCTTCTGTGGGAGTCAACAGCTGAGGAAGCCTCAAAGGTGGGAAGGAAGGGGTTCCCAGCCAAGGCACCCACTACTTCTGCTTTCAAAGCTCAAGGACCAAACCGAAATGCCACCTGCTCTAATGACAGGGTCGTTCATGGCTCTGAGGTCAAGGCTTTATGCTTAATTTCTATTGCTGCTTTTACAGGATACATCCACCAGAAGTTTCTGGTGATGGGAGGGAAGAAGAAAGGTGGATTTCTCTTGCGGCTGCCATTTGCATATGAACATGTATAAAAAGTGGTCAAACCCAGATGAGGGTCCTGCTTCTGTTTTATGTACAATAATTTAATCAGTGTATACATTTAATACCTAAAAAATTAATTCACAATCAAAGTCCTTCATGCATTTTATGAGGAAGTTCTGGATTAAAATGATGGTCAACCAGGTGTAGTTTCTGCCCGGGAAGATGATGTCATTTTCTGTTGCAGAGTCATCAGTGCCTGTGGTTCACACTTCCTTAAATTTTTAGTTTCTTTGTGGTCTCAAGTCTTTTTTTCAGCAGCTCCCCAATTTCCAGAAGTGAGTGCAGATAACTACTCTGCACCTTCCCTTGCACAGTCTTTGAATATTTTCTCTCTTCCTACAAAGGAGACAAGAATTAGTGGCCTTTCTCAGAAGGAACTAGCAGAAGATTGTAGTTTCTCAGATACTTAAAGTGATAAACATCTGGTGTCCCTGGAAGCCCCATCAATACAGAAAGTGTCATTTTCAAAGGCTAAAATTCATCAGAAATGTCTTTTTCCATGTGATTTTTCACTAAGACACTGGCATTGGCATCACTCTTTCAAGTAACTTGTTACAATATAAAGTTAAAAAAATGAAATTACTGAATATTAACTTTTAATCAAGAAAAAGGGTTAAAATTATCAAGTAGTTTAAGCATGAAATAACTAACATTTCATTATGAGATGTACAAAAAAGAAAAATTGAGATTTCTTCTTTTTATTTTTCATCAAAAAGAAATACATTATTAATTTGCACATCATGATACACACTTTTTTAAAGGCATCAAATTTACCTGTACTGGTTAGACTACTCATGGGGATTGCTCCATACCGACAAAGTTCAAGGGTTCAAGAAGCCAAACAACCACAAAGACCAAAGATATCAGAACCCTACTCGGACATGTGAGTTAAATATCTGCTGCATATTTGACCTGTGGCATATTTTACTTTTCCAAACATAAGGATTTTAAAAAAGGAAAACTGCAATACTAAAATAATTCTTCAATCATTTTAATTACTACTGAGTCTAAATCCATTCCAATGTACATAGAAACACCACTGAACGCTGTGCTTAGCTGGCTAAAACCAAACATCTGAAATTCCCTTGTTAACACAGCTGCTTTCTTTTCACCAGTACTAATTCTACTCCTCACTAATCCATCATTAGCTTTCATAGTAAAAAAAGCAACTCCAAAAATATTCAAGAAGGAGAGAAGAGGGGCGAGATAAACACCTACAGTCACCAAAAACGTAAGGACTATTCTCAGGGACCTTCTGATCACAAGTCCTCTAAGGAGAGAATGATAATTTGAGAACAGTAACTTTTCCTTTGCATAAATATGAGAACATCTGAATATATAACTTACTAATGATAGCCTACAAGTCTCTTACCAATGAGAGAGAAGTGTCTTCTATAATAAGTTCTTCAAGTTTAAGTGCAATTAGATGTGCTTCAAGCCCTTTAATGTGATCCACAACATTGGAAATCAAGGTCTGAAGCCCAGTAACATAGTCTTGGAAACTGGTAAAGACAGGTGGCTGGAAAAATATTTTTTTTTTTAAGTTAAAAGATTGTGAGACATATTTCCCATGCTTGTATCACATAAACTCTACTGATTTCATGACAGCATTACATGACTTAATGCTATTAACTGGAATGGATACAATTTTGAATATGAAGGCAATCTCTCAAACCATGATAAATTTTATTACCACCAAACAGAGCTAACCCAGCAATGATAACAAGTTTTTTTTCTTTGTGGTGGGGAAAGCAGGGAGTTATTTCACTCTGAGGAAATACCAACAGAAAATTGGAGATGAAAAACTAATAGAAAATCTTTGCTGATAATTACTCAACTCAAGGCTGGGAAACTTAGAAAACTAAGATTTCATCACCTTGTTTATAGATTATATTTCCTGAAAGATTAAGAACAGAAATGGAATATTCGAAATTCTAATGGAAAAAATAATGGGTACCACACCCAAATTAATTATGAGAAAGTAGTTAAGGGGAACTTTCCCTAGTAGATACTAGAGTATATTACAAAGTTGACATTAAACCCAGGTGACACAGGTATATAAGCAAACCGACAAAGAGTGAAAGGAAACAAGCCCCAAGAAAAGAATGAAGGATGTAAGAAAATTTAAATGGTGGCATTTCAAAACAATGTTTTCAAATGGGTGAATGGGACTGAGATAACTAGCCAAATATTTGGAAATATAAAATAGAAACTTTGGGCCTCCCTGGTGGCACAGGGACTAAGTCTCAGGAAATGAAACTAGTGGCAGTCACTGAAGCATGATTTTGATCCCTGGACAGAGAGGTAACTCACATGCTGCAACACACCTCTCCTGTCTCACCTGCTACTCCCTTCAGCATGTTCAGCTCTCTACTTTGTCTGGTGAATCCTCTTACTCCCTGCATCTCTGGCCTATACCCCAGTTCTTAGATGCATAAATAAATTTTAAAAAATAGTAAATACTAAAATAAATTCTACACAGATTAAATACTTAAATATTACGAGAAATCTATCAAAACACCAGAAGAAAATAAAAGTAACAACTTCCATAATCAGGAATTTTAAAACTTTTTTTTTGCTTAGAACAGGGGTGTTAGCCAGAGGTGGGGACATGAGAGGTGGCAGTGAGGGTACTCCAGAGACAGAGTGGGGAGCAGAACAGCAGATCTCCTGTCCTGAAATAACACTGCTGAGGGGAGCAGCAGGAGACAGGAGATGTCTGCTGCACCATGTGGGTCAGCAACCTGGTTGCATATCACACTCAGGCTGCAGTGGTGACAGCACTGAGACTTAATCTCCAGGCCACCAGGGAGGCCCTAAAATGCCTTTCTAAACATAACAATAATTTAAGAATCATTTTTAAAAATTTATTTTAAAAATTATCATATAGACAATAAAAATCATTCAAGTTAAACAACAGCAACAAAACCTATACCATACATGATACAGGATTACACTAACTATTGTGTGAAGAGAACAATAGCTCAAAAATACTAATAAGAAATTTGGGCAAAGACAGGAATAGAAAAAATGTCTACAATATATTTCTCATTTAATTAAAAAAAAAAAAAAAAAAAAAACCAGGTAACAGAAACCTAGCAATCAACTGGGTAGTCTGGCTAGCATTTCACTCAAGAAGTCCTCTTGAGCGAGACAACATCAGTAAAAAAATTTTTAGAAAGAAAAAAGAGAATACTAGTGTTTGTCTATCATAGACATAGACTATACTATTGTGGAAAGTAAAAATGTATGTAATAATTTCAGATCTATGGGATCTGAAACAATTACATTATAAATCTCTGTGAATGTCCACATTTTAATAGCAGTTTTACTTACAATTTCCAATGATGATATAATAATGTAACAAAATGGCATATAAACTTATTCAAAGTAATGAGCTACAGTCTATATTTGCTAACAAGAAGTGAAGGACAGCAAGTGAAAACAAAAACACGCACAGGAAGCTGCAGAACTGTTTTGTTCATGGTGGCTATCATCAATTGGTGGGTGTGTGGGCGGTCTTCATCTTTTTTTGTTTTTAAAGATTTATTTATGCATACAGAACTGTAGTACAGGCCAGATGTAGGGGGGAAAGGATTCACCAGAGACGGAGTGGGGAGCAGGACAGGCAGATGGACTGAAACACACTGCTGAGGGCGGCAGCAGGGAGACGGGAGCGGTCTGCTGCCCACGTGGGTCGCTCCCTGGCCGGGGATGGAACTCGTGCTGCAGGGGCTGCGGACAGCTTCACAGTGCTGCTCTTTAATCAGCTGCGCCAACAGGGAGGGCCCGATCTTCACCTTTTCACATCTTTAGCTGACTTTGGTAGTCAGAAAAATAGGAAAGCTATTCTTATCTTTGAAAATCAGAAAAGCAACAACCACAAAAATCTAAATACCAAAGGCAGTTGACTTGACTAATGCTAGGCCTGTAGGCTTTCATCAGGAGAAAGAGCAACAGAGCCAACTCTGCACTAATGATCTATTAAATTATCTTGAACAAAGTGAAAAGAAAAAAGGGTTTGAAATTTCATTCAGTCACTAATCCAAATCTAAGTGGTAACAGCCTAGTACATATCTATAAAGATCTATATAGAACCCCTGCATTGTGTGAGAAGTCAAAATTCCCACTAAAACGACCATTACTTTCAAGCTGCAACAATAACTGTATTGGTACAGTGAAAAAAAATCTCGGGCCCTCCCTGGTGGCGCAGCAGGTTACAGCACAGCACTAAGAAGCTGCAGCTGCCTCAGCACGAGTTCAATCCCCGCCTGCCCCGGAGGTGACCACAGGGCGCGGCAGACCTCTCCTGACCCGCCCACTGCTCCCCTCAGCAGTGGACTTCGTCGATCTGCCTCTTCTGCTCCCAACTGTCTCTGGTGAAGCCTCTCACCACTCCTGCACCTCTGGCCTGTGCCCCAGCTCTGTATGCATAAGTAAATAAATCTTTAAGAAAAAAAAAAAGGAAAAATCTCACACTAATAATGACAGGATAAATTCAAACACTAATAAAACAGCGTATCATAAACAGAATTAATCTGAAGTAATTTTCCATATGAAAAGGACACAAATTATGTCTGACACATCCAAAAATTAAGTTAATAAAAGTGGGAGGAAACACTAAAATTGAATACAAATAGAAATAAATATATCCTATTTAGTTCACACTAATAAATGAATCTCAATTTTGAAAACCAGTGCTTTTAAAGAATAACTTAATCATCGACATGCACTAAAACATATTAAAAAAACAAAAAGGAAAAGAAATATAAACGTTATTTCATATTTGCTATCAGAACTAATAGTATAATTGATGTGCTAGTGCTAAAACTATTAACGTATTTATTGTAATGAAAAATTTACTAGTAAATGAGTAAATATCAATGTTCTGGTGCTCTGTGAAAAGGAAGTCACAAGTATGGAATGAGGAAGGACTAAAAGAACTGCAATACTGGACTAAAGCTAGAGGAAGAAAGCAGCTGACTCAAAGCCGTGTCAGAGCCTTAGTAAGATTCCAGCATTTAGGAAAAGGCATAGTTAACATAACAGGGAAATTTTGAAGATCAACACTATAGTGTTATTATAGACATAATGAATTTCTTGTGTGTGAAAATGTCTTCAGTATTTGTTCTATCTTGGTAAGTGTCACCAAGACTACACATCTTTCAAGTGGTTAAAGCAATGACAAGCAGAGTGGGGAAATAACAGCTCTAAAGCAAACTTAAAAAGTGGTGACTCAAGTGATGATATACATGGAATATTAGGATATTGTTACAGTAGTTTTTCAGCTTTTCTACAGATTTATTTTTAAGTTGGGGGGAAATAATATGGTTGTCTGTGAAAATGAAAACCAGCACGCAGCCAGGTTGTGACATGTGCTGTTATTACCATGATGATGCTTGTCTCTTTTTTCTTCTTTTTCTTTTTCTGTAAATTTAATTTATATGGCCGCAGAACATTCTCACAGTAACTGGACACCCAAAGGATAATAGAAATAGTCTGAAAGAGGAAAAATTGTAATATGTCGGTAAGGATTATACTTAAAATTTCTATCAGGCAGTTAAATGTAATAGATTAAACAAAGAAATCCCCTTCAGTTTTTTCTCTAACTCTCTACCCTCTAATTCTTATGATCATCACATTGACAGTATCTGTTGATGAAATATTAACACAGCTCAAACCTTTATCTTTCTTTTGGTTCTCCTAGGTCTAACCATCCTCCACTCAATTTCCTTTCACTTCCATACAGGAAGTGGGGATTTAAAAACTTGCTTTTCATTCAAGGGCAAAGTTTGAATTCCTGTGCATGGAATCCAAAGGGTTTTTACAACCTTCTCTCTAGTCAGGTAAGAAGCTTTCTCAGCTCATAAACCTTAAATAGAGAAATCTTCCTAGCTGGTCAGTAAGTTAGATATTTACGCGTCTTCTCCTGTGCTAAAGTGTGTGTATATACATATCGTTATTCATTCATTCACTGTCTTTTAGACAACTAGCAATTCTTAAAACAGAGAATACTGTCCTAGGGAAGCTTATAAATAAAAGGGGATGAAAAGTAAATAAACATGAAAGGAATAAAAGGAAAGATAGTGGATCATGAGTAGTAGCAACCTTTCTCTTTCCTAACTTATGAGCAGCTCTGCTACATCAGATCCTGAATTTCTCTGCCACTATATAGAATCTCAGAAATTAGTAATCAACAACAACAAAAAGAGAAACTAGAGGCATTAATTTAAACAACATAACAGCTGAATCAAAGGATAATGAAGAGAAAACAGCTACATATGGAGTAAATCAGGTTATCTTTAGAGGAGGGCAGCAAATCTTACAAACTTTTACTTAAACATGAATGAAATCTCAGTATTTGTTGAAGAGTTGCTTCAGAAAGCTTTTTTTTTTTTTTTAATTTCCAATTACCAAAATGCAGAGGTAGAAGATTAAAGAACAGATATAAGGCACCTGTTACTTGTTCATTTTTTGGAAAATTAAACCTACACACAATTAAGGAAAATCGAGTTTTTTAGAAAGAGAACAAAAACATACCTCAACAAAGAAGACTAGATTTTCTAAAAGACTAGGATGTGTTTTCAAATTACCATCTTTAACTTCTAAGAGGTCACCTTTACATTTATAGAAGACATCTGGAAACAGAAAAATAGTTTATGGTTTATTCAGTCTTTTGTTCATGCTATTTTAGAACACAATGCATAATCTAATAAAGAATAAGCAAATGTGAAAGCTTACTCCAGCAAGCATTTTCCTCCATAGTAAACCAAACACCAAAAACTGTTTTAAGTGCTTTAAAAAATCAAGTTCTTCAAAATACTGAAAAGAGCTTTACTGCCTTCAAAATAGAAAAGGTACTCTTTAAAGTATGTTTTAGGGCTTAAACAAAAACAAAGCCTTGCCACCAGTGGGCCACTGGCACAATAAATTAAGACTCCATTTGAATGGGTCCGAAAGACTAAAATGCACTGGAGAAATGCACTCTCATAAACAAATACTACTTATTAACCTCATAATTTGATCCTTCCTTAATTTTCATTCTCCATTTGGGCAATCAAAGATCTACTTAAGCTTTTGAAAAGACCCAATAGATTCAGAACGTGTGTGTATCCTTTACTGACCAATTTCTACTTCTAGGAATTTATTTAATCCCAAGGAATTACTTAAGTACTCAACATTTGTGTCCCAAGATGTTCATTTCTGCATTGTTAGAAATATGTTATTACAAATAACTCACAGCATAATCCACTATGGACTTAGTGGGGGAGTACATAAACAAATTTCATACCTGATATGTACTGTGGAATATTAAGCAGTCCTTAAAACTAATGGCAGCATATATAACTGACAGTGTAAGATATCTAAGATAATAAAAAGTTAAAGCCAGAAAAGCACATTCTTATATTAAAAAGAAAAATTACTATTCCCAAAGGTGTTATATAGGAGTATAGCCTCGAAACACTACTTAGTTACCTCTGGGGGGACAGGGCTGGAAAAGGAAAAAGACCACCTCCCTATTTGTGTACTGTTTTTTAAGAAGTATCTACTACTTCTGTAATCAAAGCCTTTTAAAGTTAAAATCATGTCTTTTAAAATACCAAAAGCATGATTACTTTCAAATCCTCTTTCAAGTTTGTATTTTAAAAAACAAGAATGAGGATTCCACAGTAAGCTTACCTTTTAATTGTTCTAATAAAGACTTAAGACTATTCTCTATGCGCTCCTGGATCTCCACTGTATCCTCTAAAATTGAAAGAGTGAAATTTTTTGAGTTATTTTCTAGTAAGATAAAGATCAATACCTGCAAGCAACTCATAAGCTACTCATATTTTTCTCTTAAAAACCAAAGGCAGGGCCCTCCCTGGTGGCGCAGCAGGTTAAAGCACAGCACTAAAGAAGCTAAAGCCACTTCAGCACGAGTTCAATCCCCACCCTGGAAGTGACCAACACCACTTGGCAGACCTCTCCTGACCCGCCCGCTGCTCCCCTCAGAAGTGCACTTCATTTATCTGCCTGTTCTGCTCCCCACTCTGTCTCTGGCCTGTACCCCAGTTCTGTATGCATAAATATATAAGTCTTAAAAAAAAAAACAAGAGAAAGGAAAAGTTAAAATATATTCATTACCTTTCTCACAAAAGCACTACCTAAAATTCTCAGGAAGAATAGAAATCTGTTTCAAGTACTCTAAATGACAGGCTGAACAAACCTTATGGTTTAGAAACAAACCAACAGTCTTAGAAACTGGAACATTTGTGATTTTTCACTAGGTTTGAGAGCTTAGTTAAAAACAAAACAAACAAAAACTCTTCTCTACGAAGTTTAGCTCTTCACTGCTAAGGAGTTCAATCTGAAATCCCACAAAACTTCAAAATATCAAGGATTTCCTCAACTTTTGAACTTAACAAGTGACTCAAACAAACGTTTTAGTTTCTCAGACATTCTTTTGTAATCTGTAATATTTCTAGAATAGATTCATCTTATTTTTCCCAATATTTGAGGTTATAGCTTGTTTATTACATAAATATTTACCAAGTTTTCCATGACAAAGACCTGATAATATATTCAGTTAAATGTACACTTACCTAAACCACTGGTATCCAGCTCATAAATATCACTAAGAAGATAAAAAGAGCTGATCTGACAATGAGAACAACCAGAATTTAAAAATGCAGCCATTCTTGTAGGTACAGGACCAAGGAAAGGATACTGGAAAAGAAAGGGGGGAAAAGTTATCACCTTTAAATCTATCAAATTAATACAAAGTAAGAAAAAATGGGACTATAATTATTTGATAAAAATCTCTTGGTAATTAATTCACAAAGTACAGATTAGTAAACTAAGACTAAATCACTATTGTGAAAATATTACTTATTGATAGTTTTTAAATATATCATTACAAAACTAAACATATTTTGCTTTTTCTCAGATTCAGCTTAGATACTGAGGAAGATTCTGCAATTCCCCTGGTATGTTTCCTTTTTCCTCAAATCCCATAAAGTGGAAAAAAAATTTCATTCTTTACTGTTCATCCACAACAGTCAGATTACTGAAATGTTTATGGTAAATACGTATTCCTCAGTATGTACCTGAATTTCCTTCTCAATAAATCGCTTTCCCTCCTCCAGGGTCACTTCCAACTGTTGAAGGAGCAAACGAAGAATATCAATCCGGGAGGATACACCATTTTCAGTGGTCTTCTCTGAGTTCTTTGGTTCCACAGGGTGGTTAAGACTTGGAAGTCCACTGATCAGCCTCAATGTTAAGGAACGGATTCTTAACCACATGGTCTCCTCCTCTAAGGAAAGCTTCTTATGTTCTTCAGAAACATCCCTTAAAAAGAAACATTCCCAAGATGTCCTTTTATTCAATGGGTTGCCTTTAAGTCCTTCAACAAATCACTTTTATTAGTCAAATAAATGCACTTGAATAGTCCCAAATTTCACTCACTAGCTGAATCATCTTGGACAAATCAAAATTGCTCAAGTCTACATTTTGGTATAAAGTGGAAATAACCTATCTAACAAGTTATTTCCCCCTAAGTGAGCTTTTTTTGCTGATGGTAAAACACATGACATAATATACTCAAAGGACAGGGTTAAAAAAAAAACTACAAGGAAACTTACCTTGACAAACACACACCAGGTATAAGAACAAGTTTGGTATAGACCCTTTCAAACTATTGCAATATAGATATACAAGAGTACAACTTTATGTAAACCAATAAACTAGGGTCACAGTATTTTGCGAAATACATTTCTCAAGTAACAGTGTGTAAAAAAAGAGTTAACATAGCAGCTCCACATACCATCATGTTTTAAACGACTATTTATAAGAACAGTCCTGGCTAGTAACCGGAACTTGGCATTCCAGCCATTCCCTAGGTGAGAGTGGCTGCTGTGTCTAGACCACCTGGACCAACTGGATGTGAATAGCTGCTTTCCTTCTAGGGTCTCAAGTGTAGGCTCGTGCTGGACAGAGCATGCTACAAAGTCATGAAGTAAATCATGGTCATTAAATCTCCTGGGTTTCCCTGGTAGAAAACACTGCCTGGGAACGGCTGTACTTTCTGCTGGAGAGAGCAGCACACTCGACACATCTCGCGGCAAGAGTGTGCGCCCCAGATCTGTGTGTAGTTCTCCAGGCTCCACCTGTGTCTTCTTGCCTTGCTGATCCTGTCATGCGTCCCTTTGCTAGAAGAAACCTGAGCTGTGAATGCATCGCTCTTGAGTCTCAACAGACCTCCTGCAAACTGATGAATAGAGTCCTGGCAATTTTCAAATCGCAGTATATCCAGAGCTACCTCACACATGTCACTGCATATTTGCACATTTATTTCCCAAGGCTTCACTCCTCTAGAAGTAGAAATGCTGATTAAATGGCATTTAGCATTTTCAATCTTCATACATCACTAGAATTTCCTTACAGAAAGAGAACAATCCCATGGAGATAAATATACAGCCACCATTTCCACTACAGACTTGCAGGCCACAAGTATTAATCTTCTTTACCTTTGTCCAATAAGCTGAAAAAAAGTAACTGCTGTAAGGTACACTTTTTGAGCTTCTTTTAAAGCTCTTTGTCTCAATGTTTTATATTTGCTTCTGGAATTTCTAAGGAATTTGAGTATAACTTTTAATTCATTTGGAATCCATTAATATGCTGTAAAGACAGACCTGGCTTTTTTTTTAAATTACAAAAGTTTACTTTTACATCATTTTGTACATTTTTTTTTCCCATCTCAATTGTAATCCCC